AGTCCCATAGTGGTTTTAGGATTTCTTTCCAGCAAACTATTACCCTTGACCACAGCACAGAGTGTCAAGCCAAAACTCCCAGATTCCCTCAGCAATAGCTCTACTTTATCTTTTCATTTATCACTTCCTTCTCTCTAGTATTACACTGATTTTTATATCAAGGGTTTTTACTAGATGACTTATTAAAATTACTTATGAAGTCAGTTAGTTCACAGCTTGCTTTCACTTTGTTTTAGTGAAAAAAATTAAACAGGTTTATGCAGGATGAAGCTCCTTTTCAGTTATCTCTTCTCCAGAAATGGTAGTAAATGTAAGAATAGCTTCATAAATGTGAAATTTAGAATCAGTTCCCTACACTGTATTATTCAATGAGGAAACACTTGGAATTCTTTAATTTTAGCATTCATGGTTCCACACATCTGTAAGTATTTAAACTGTTTAAATGGATGTAACAAATTCTGAGTACTTCTATTCCTTTGAGCAGAGCGAACTACAGTTAACATTGCTCAAACTATTTTTGTTCAGGTTTTATTAGACATGTGGAAAATAGACATGTTATGTTAAAATGTCAGCACCAAAACACTCAACACTGATATCCTGATACCACTCAGCTAGGATTCCTCCTGTCTTTTTGGTGTTTTTTTTCCAAAATGAGTCACCATTGATGTTAAACTCTTACTCAAGTTATTTCATATTTTTCATTTGAAAACAGTAATATGTATGTTCATGTTTTAATTTTGTGAAAAATGGGAGATTTATCAGAAGACTAAAGAAACAAAACACACTGAATGTAGTACCTGCCTTTGTCCTGAATCCTGAACTGTCTTTGAAAAATATTTTTGTGCTACAGAACTTTTTGAAGTCCTACATGTTCTCAACAAGAAGTTATTCTTAAAACAAACCAGCTGATTCCAGATGTATGAAAGGAGCGATTCAAGTTTTATCTGGTGACTAACAAAGAACAATTGAAAGTTGTGAACACATTACAGCAGCGATCCACATCGCCTCATATTATGTCTGACACACAAGACAGCAAATTCTAACCTACAACTTCACTAACAGTTGTATTTGTCCCTAGATAGAATGAAAGTCACTCAGCCATTAGGATCCCAGACATGCACAGAAAAAATATGAAATGAATTAATAGGGAAAGTAGAAAACCCCAACAATCTGATGCAACCACAAACCAGAATTTTGCTATTTCTTTAATTAGACTATTCCTACATTTCAGTTCTGAGAGATTACTTGTTCCTCCATTCATCTTAGTGAAATCAAAGTATCTGCTTTCAAATACAATTCCTGTCAGGCTGGGGAGTTAACCCAACCACTTTCCCTTAGTGTTGCCTTTCAATATTTAAGGGGGCCTGCTTATAAAAAGATGGAAAGAGATTTTTCACAAGGGCCTGTAGTCACAGGAGAAGGGGCAATGGTTTTCAACAATTTTAGATTGGACATAAGAAAATTCTTTACAATGATGGTAGTGAGACTCTGGAAAAGGTTTCCCAGAGAAGCTGTGGATGCTCCATCACTAGAAGTATTCAAGGGTGGGTTGTATGGGGCTTTGAGAAACCTGATCTAGGGGAATATGTCCCTTCCCATGGGGGGGGGGTTGAACTAGATGATCTCTAAAGATCCCTTCCAACCCAAACCATTCTTGATTTTAACTGTGATTTCCAGCTGTAAGTGGCATGAACTATGAATTGGTTCCCCCACCCCCAAGTGGCAAAAAAGATTTACCCATGTACTTAGACTTTAATCATCTTATCCTCTAGAATATAACTTTTCCAATATATCTTAGAACTGGAAATCAGTGATCCTTGGGGGTTTTTTTGCTTAGTCTTAAAATAGTAATGTGAAGTTTTAGATAGGAAATGCTACTTTATTTGCAAAATATCCTGAGAGGTATACATTAACATGTATGTTACATGTTTATTTTCAGTCTTTAATCAGAAATCTCAATTCACATTTCAGTAGTAGTATTTATTCCACTGATTCAAGATAGAAATTCAAATGTATCAAAGACATTGATTCCAAAGAGATGCATCCTCTAGCTACTCATTATAACAGCATCACATTAATCACTATGGATCCTCTAAGCCTACTAGCACATTAAAATTAACTGGTATGATCCTTCATTTTGTATAGTCACCTCCAAAAAAACTGTTTAAGAACAATGTCAGTCTACAATAAAAAAAGGGATTGAAAACCAGGACTTTCACCAGGGAAAGATTCTCCTGTCCCTTCTCTTGTTCCACAGATGAGTCAAGTACTAAAGAGGTTAAATGCTGAGTATAAACACCACAGAAAACTGAAGTACTGTGAAAACATCTGAAGGTAACCTTTAATAGTATTAGGATGAAGGAAGAAAAATGAGGGCAGAGGGCAGAAGGAAGCAGGTATGTGCCCAAGATCAGTGATGAGAAGGAAAGCACATTCCTAAAGGGAAAGCTCAAAACACAACTCTTTGACAGCAAATTCCATCCATTCCCAAAAATCTTACTGGGTTCTGGAGTCATTAAAAAAAAAAAAAAGTCAAGAAAATATGGAACAAGCCAGAAATAGCAGAATAAAAGTTACCAAACCACAGCCATCAGGAAATTACTTACCATATACAGAAATACCTGTGCACAAGCTACAATTTTGTATGCAAGCACAAGCATACTGTTTTCTACAAAGTAAAATTTTGGTATGGAGCTAAACATACATGTAACAAGTCTTCTTAAAAGAAGGCACTTGATAAGATGCATTATCTCCAGTCTCAACACGTCTGATAAGGAGTAAAGAAAGGCATAAATTAGTACACTTTGGTCCTTTTAAATGAAGCTATTCAGGAATTAAGGCTTAAAAAAAAAAACGAAGTTAAACACTCAGTTACTGCATCCTCAACAGGATGTTTCACATATCAAGGCTGGTATCTTAAAAATATTATCTGGATTATAAAGAGACGTTAGGATCAAGCTTTTAGATTCATTTCACAAATCTTCAAGCTTTGCTTCAACCTCTCCTGGGTATCTCAAGGATGCTTGCTATTAGAACTGTTTTATTTAACACTAAGACAAAGCCTTTAACAAAGCCTTCCTTCAATGGAAGTATTTCTCACTGAAATCTACCTGGGCTAAAAAAAAGACTCAGAGCATTACAACTGAGTTTAAGATCTTTAACTCAATAGCTGTAGTATCTCAGTTGCAATGGCATTACATTTCACTTAAGGAATCTTTTATGCTAACAGAGCTCTTCAATTTGAGGGAAAAGAATCTTAGAGTTTGAGACAAGTGTTAAAGTAAGGACAAGTCAAAGCAACAACCTTTCAGTTTTCCTTAGAACATACATAAAAAATGAGATGACAAATACAATTTTCAGCTGTCATCTCCAGATCAAATGCTAACAACATTTACATTTACCCTGAAGACACTTCAATAGTTGTAGGCTAACAGTATGAACTACAAAGAATTTTGAGCAACCTAACAGCATGTAAATCTTACATAAAATGCATGTTTGGTAAATTATTCTTTCAAAGGCCAGAGGATGGAACTAGAGATGTTAGAAATTCAGTACTATGAAAATTTGATTATGTATGCATGTGCTAGGCACTAGTAGTGGAAATTAGGTATGAAACTTTAGTGATAAGACCAGACTAAACAGTTACTTCTGCATCACAAACACTAGCTTAAGGACATATAAAAATGAAGAAAAAGTGAAATAGAACTGAGTGTCTCTGCACTGACAATATGTAGCAGAGTTGTTACAGGCATCTATGGGAAAGTTAAAAACAGATATTTAAAAACTGAAGAAAAGTTAGCAAAAAACCCATCTCCAAAATCAAACGAGATTCTAATTTGCAAGCACTTTTGAATGGCTGATTACAGTGCTAAAGAAGTGAACCTTGGTATATAATTACCACTACTCTGAACATTAAAATCAAGAACAGCAGCAGACTATATATATTACACAACATTACTTAAGAATGTAAGAACAAAAATTTGTTTATTTGGAGAAAATAATTATATACTTACAGGATACCACAAACAGTATGTGTAAATTCTCTAAATTAAAATTCATTCTGCATTGCATTTGCAATTATTACAGGATAGACATAACAGATCTGTATAAGTGGAGTAATTCCACAGTGTTTTTTCCTTCTAGCATGTTTAATCTGACTTAAAACACCTCAGAAAATGATTCTGAAATTTTAAAAGCTGAAATTAAGTTTCAAACTTGCATTAATAAGCACCATAGCCACATCAAAGGAAACAGTTCACTGTAGAAAACTGTTACACTTAACTACTGCAGCCACAGTCTCTCTACTGTAATAGAAACAGTTATGGACTCTATTTAGTTTGTTTTCACACTTTGGGACTCAAAGGACTTGAAGCTGTCATCTCAGTACTGCAATCAAGATGGGGGATGCTAAAGTAAAAATAGAACACCTCCCATGTCAAAGAAAAATAAAGCAAAGGAAGCAGCAGACTTTCCTATTCCTGAAACAAACAAATGCCACTTCATGAAAACAGCACAGTGCAGGAGACCAAATCCAAATTCTACCACCAAAACACTTCTCTATTATTTTATCAGGACTATAAATTTACCAATACAGTAAAAGGAATGTGTATTCTCTATGTTAGAGAAATTGATCTGAAATTCATGTCAATCAAGGCAAGATTTACCAGTTTTTCAAAGCTGTGAGCTCCACAGGACTAACAGACCCTGCACACAGATAAGGGAGTAACTAGAAGTTAGAAGTGAAGCAGCACTGAACATCTTTATGATGCACATTGTTTCTCCACTTAGGTACCATTCAAGTTCAAGACAAATTTCAGCACCACTTAAGTCAGTCTAAGTTATTTAGACTATGTTCCACAAATCAAGATTTGTTGCCCCTATCTTCTGCTCTTATTTTGGGGGTCCTTCACATGTTTCACTATTGTACTTTTTTTTATTTGGAGGAAGAAGCTTAAAATATAGACATTCAAATTAAATTCCACTGCAGCTGAGATACTTACCTGGACAAAGCAGGAACTGGTACTCCTCTTGCTCGAATAGATGGTTTTCCACGGACTACTGGAACTTCTGCATTTTCTGAACCACCATTTAAATATGTTAATTCTTGAAGCTGTGCCTGTCTGATCTCATCATTGTAGTCCTAAAACAGAGGGCAGTGAGAAAAAACAAACTGTTCAACCACCACACCAAGTTAGTATCAGCAAACACTGCTCCTCAAAGTTTTCTCTTAAGAAGTTGAAGATTTTATTGGAAAATTTCAATGTGCAGAACACTATAGGCATAGTAATTCAAAAACTTCTAGAAGAATTCTATGTATTAACTGCAATTTTTGCTTGGGCATGTTTCTTTCCCAATGCATATTACCTCCACATAGTTTTACCAACTAAAATGCCACTGTTAAAATGCTGCAGATAAGGGGAAGCAACAAAAGAAATCAAGGTCCCATTCCTGAGCTGAGATATTGTTTGTAGTTCCAGCGGGAGAACAACAGTCTGAAAAGCAGGAAAAATTGCATTGCCTGGTGTTGCAAAGCAATACAGAATACACTGTAGAGAACAGCCCCTGACAAGTAAGGAATTTTATTAGACGCATACACTTTTAAAATCAGGAGTTAAAGTATAAACAATGCAACTACAAACATTCACTATTATCTAGTAAGAGCTCCAAAAATTTCAATTCTAGAACATGCAGGGATAAACAGTTTGAAGACACATGGCTTATTTCTTCTGCACAAATCTTATCTCAAGGTCAATTGAAAAGAAAGCTCGAGTTATTTACATGGAATTAACAGGGTACTTCAAATATGTAAGAGTCTTTTCAGGGACCTTGAGCCAATCTCCAAAACTAGCACATGGCACAGGAATAAAATAGATACAGCAATGAACTTGAGCTGTACATTTTTTCCTGCCATTTTTCTTCCACTTAAAGTGAACCAAAGAATGCATGTGTAAAGGTGAATCAGAAAGTGATACATACACACTAAGTATCAAAATATTAACAGGTCCTCTAATAAGAATGAAGGGATACTTCTGATGTTACAGCTCTTATCTCTGCAAATCCTATTTAAAACAAGGCAGGTTTGTCCAAATACGGTCTGGTTTTATATTTCAATTGCAAAACAAAGGATCTGTATCTCTTATTGGAAATCTTATTTTATTACATTTATTCACTAGACAGGTACCAGAAGACTGTCAGGCAGCCTTGCAAACAACTCACTGAAACATAACTCCACATTGAAAGGAGATTAAAGCATCTATGCACTCAAAGGCCTCCATTAGCCTTGAAACATTCCACTTCCCCTATCTTCCACTAACAGGAGTAAGAGTTTTCCTCTATATGCCATTGCTGAAGATAGTTACTAGTATTAAAGAGTGGCACTATAAAGGAATTCTTCCAAACTCTTAAATAGGCTCTGAAACGTAACTCAACTGTCCATCCGAGATCATCCTCTATTTAGCAAGAGAAACCAACCAAGCAGGGTGAAGAAAAAAGTCTGGAAGACTGAATCAACTGTTTCAGACTGCATAACTGAAGCTTGAGAAACAGATTCTATTATAAAACAACCTGGAACCAATACACAGCCAAACCATCAGAGGGAGTAGAAACAAAATGGGCAATTGAACACTACTCTGGTCAGCTAATGTACAGAAACCCACTTTATATTTGTACTTTGCTGCTGGACCAGAACTGGCCAGTACTTCAATCTTCAAACGAAATGCTGAGCAGCTGTTAAAACTGTACCACAATCAATACTTAGGTTTCAAAGTTCTGACATGCATGTAACAGATGCCCTTCATAAACTCTCCACAAGACATCCTCCTCAGAATTGGACTCCTAGAAAAATACCTTTGATTTTATATTAATTTCATTCAACTTCTTAAAAATGTGCTTAGGATATTTTATTTCTCCCTGGTGTTTTTTTTTTCCTGTAGCATACTACTGGACATATCAGCAGCCTTAGTCACAGACAGAGGCTCCACTGTGCCAAGACACAGAACAGAAAAAAACGGTCCTTATCACATATGCCAGAGGCAGCAGGAAGGATACAGAGTGAAGGGGCATAGAAGGAAGCCAAGAGAAGCAGCAGCGTTAATCCATTAGTCTCTGAAATGGATTCTTCAATTAAAAGTACCAAATGGTCAACTTATGAATACCCACTGCTGGAAAGCAGCACACCTGAAATCAAACTGAGAGACAACGATCTCCTCACCTAGAACATAAGACATACACAGAAACCCTTTAGACTGTGCTCCTCCCCTGTACAATTTAGGCAGAGGTAACACTTTGAAATGCTGGGGTTTCAACCTCAAGCCCCAGATTAAGGCTGACATGTGGATGATTCCCACAGCCCTTCCCAAAGGGGGGTGAGTTTCCCTTTAAGCTTCCCTCCAGGGTGGAGCAGCCTTGCAGACAGAGCCATTGGGTCACTGAGCCCCAGGGCTCTGCAGTGAGTAACCCCAGGTCAGGTGTCCACTGAGGGATAACAGCTGGGACCCCTTGCAGGCAGGGCAGTGTCTGTGTGTGAGGTGGGTGTCCTGTGCAGAGTTCCCTGTTGGGGAAGGACCTCCTGCCTCCCTGGGACTGGGCTCCAGTCAGTTCTGGCCTTTGTAAGTGTGGGCTGTGTAGGGATTCAGTGTGTGGCTTCCTTGGTCTTATGCGTTTGGCTTGTTAACCTGGTTGTCTCCTGTCCCTTCTATGGGAGACTGCATTGCACCATTTATTCCACCCACTGTTGATCATGTGGTGTTGTTGTTGGGGTCAGTGGGATTGATGTTGATAATGTATAATCTGACTTGTTTGTACTCCCAGTGCTCACCCCTGTACTGACCCTTTTGTATCAAATACAATTTGGTTATTGGTTCATCTTTATGCTGGCTGTGTCCTTTATGCTAGGCCTGATAATTGGCAAAACACACTTGAATTTAAGTCAAATGCTACTGATTAATTTCAAGTGAACAGATGTACTCTCATTTTATGAATATTGCCCATCCTCACTACAGCCTTCTCTGAAGATGGAGAATGTTTTCTTCTGTAGGAATGACTACATTGAGATACACACGATAGCTTTTCTCCCTACACAGAATTACTATCATGATCCAACTAGCCAACATTCTTTGAGATTTTATCTGTTATTTCCACCCAGCTCTGATCAACACACTGGCAGCAGCTCTCCTTAGGATCACCTGTAATAAAAGACCTTATTCAAATTTATCATTCAAATTATCGATTAAAACATTTTCATTTCATGTTTGGACAGATCCCTGCAAAACGCTACACAGTTTTGGAAAACACCCAAGCAGATTTTTATCCTGGCAGTGAGCAATAAATAGTTACCAGGTTTCAAGCCACCTTTCTACACAGCCCTTATTTATTCACCAGTTTAAACTGTGTTAAGAGTTTCTAGAGCCCACCAAGCTCTTCCAAATGCCATTAAATGCTATTTCATTACCACATCTTAAACTGCACGTGCAGGAGGCAAGATAGACTACAGGTAAAAATGGTAAATTCTGCTCACATTGTAAATTGACTGCAAGTGTTCTCTCAAAGATGTTTCTATATTTTTCTTTAAAGACAAGGAAAACAAGAAACTCAGGTAACCAAGAGCAAAGCATAATTAATGCCGTAACTGTCAAAAGAAGAATAACTGCCACAACTCAAAACTTAAACTAGACTAAGAGTTCTATTGGCCAAAACTGCAGTCATCACAGTATAATGCAGGACCCAGGGAGGTGGTGAGGGTGGAAGTACCTAGCTTTTTGTCCTGACAGAAGTAGTTCTGGGATAAATAATATCAAACATAACACCCACCAATCTAACAGTCAAACAGACTGATGACCAGAAGATCTGGCCAGAACAAAGGGACTGGCTAATTTGAAGGAGGACAAAAGAAGTCAGAAGCCACAATTCTACCTACAGAAGATAGGCGAGAGTCAAGGCAACATAAGCACAGCCAAAAAAAAACCCTCGAGTCAAGGTTTTGTTTCTCGGTTTGAGTTATACCAATAGTCTCAAGGAAGTACAGTGGCCTCTGCAGCTGCTTGAGTCTGGCCTTCAATGCAAGAGGTGTTTGTTCATGGATCTAAAAAGATCCAAGAGAGGCTAAAGCATTTTTGCTATAGTCAGTTACTACAAGTACCACAAGAATATTTTGTATCCTACCTACATTCTGGAACCAATTGTGACTATGTTCAGGCCTGATCTTCAGACTGAACAATGACCACATTCATAAATTAGGTTCAGCATCTAAAGCTGTGGTTAACTTACATTATAAGGAGAACACAAATTAAGATCCTATATACTGATAGCAGGACTTTTCTTGAAATAAAACTGCTAATTTGTGAAGTAGGCCACAACAGACCTCATGAAAAATAAAAATCAAGTTGTATTTGGCAGCAGTTAACCAAAACGGCAGTTCTAGAGAGGACATTGTCACTCCTTATTGCTTCCTGGAGTGCCTGCTGCAAGTGGGGGCAGGGCAGAAGAGATTAAGGCATTCAGAACCATTCTGATAAGATTACACTGAAAAAGACAAAGAGAAATTATGACGGTGTTGGCTTGATCCCATAGTTCAGATAAGATTATGTAGCATCAGTTCAGCTCAATAAAATAAAGATGCAACAATCAAAAGCTGAGATGGAAATGTGTACAATCCATGAATGGAATTGCTCATTATCAGTCTGTAATTCTACTGGCCTAAGAGCAGTGAAGTAATGGCTAGGTTTTTATAAACTTAATTATGGCATTAGGTGAATCAAGCTTAATGAAGAAAACTCTCTAGTGAAGGGGGCAGGGGAACCAGATACATCCTTACTTCCAGTGCCTGCAAAAAGCAGTTATCCAAATGAGCATATTTTCATCTAGAAGCAGAGGTTTGCTCACTAGAATAGCCAAGAAATGAATTCTGCCTTCACTCTTCACACAATCAAATCATTAATCATGTAAATACAGTAGCCTTCAGCATTGACATCCCAGCATTCTGACAAATACTCTGTTGAGAACTCCCTACCTGACCTATTAGAATGTTTGAAGGGTGACATGTCTTACCTTTTCATATAAATCAAGACAAAGCCATTTAGTACTTGCAAAGTTATGATGTGGTGCTTGCTTCTTTCTAACACAAGAACATAACACTCAGACCATTTCTTTGGTTTTACACTGTCTTAAGGTGTATCTACATTGGTGTTTTATTTCACATCAGGATGTATTCCTAAATGAACCTCCTGATGATTGTCACTTATCATGCTTTGGCTCATGTCATGAAGTAGTATGGGGCATATGAACTAACTTCCATTCAGACTAAAACATGCCAGAAGAAATATTCCAGGAGCACTTAACTCCAGTTACTCGGGAAGGTAGTTTAATGGAACTAGACTAGGTTTAGAACATACCAAACACTCCCAAATGCATACGGTAGCACTGTCAGGTTATCAGCACCAACTGCTTCACCAGAGAGTGATTCTACTTGCAACAGGCTGTAGTGGCCACACAACAGACATCCACAACTAGTCCTGAATACAGTTACACTATACTCACACATTCATGTGCTGCTGTCACTTAGATACACACCTCAGTAAAGTTTCCTTAGCTATGTCTCCCACATTTTCAAGATCTGACATGAATCAAAACTAAACATTTGGGTAATATTTTCAATAGTAAAAGTAAATAGAAGTTGATGCACCTTGAGGATGCTTTGCTTTCTGTATTTGTTCATTTGATAACTTGTTGGAGAACGGCTTGCAGAGAGCAAGGCCATAGCTCCCTGCAGGAGCTGGTCGGCCATAGCTCCCTGCAGAATTCGGTCCCAGCCACCTGAGGTAAACAAAGGAAAGAACCCAGGGTACAGTTATGTAAACAAAGATGAAGATCCAGGGCTCAGTTGTGCTAGTGAGGGTTGTTGTGAGAACAAAGAGATAAGTTGGGGCGCATTATGACCTTGGGGGTGAGAGGAAGGCAGCCCTGGGAGAGAAGCAGGTTCACAGCAAGAAAGATGTTTATGCATACCAGAGATGCCACAAGGGGCTGGGATATTATAATGTGACCTTTTAGATGTACCCAATGGCTGAGATATTATAATGTAGTTTTCTTAAATGTATCCAATAGAGTTACAAGTAGTGTATTGTAGATTGCTTATATAAGGTGTGATTTCTTTCAATAAAGTTGAAGCTTGCTCTATCATTCACATTGAATCGGCTGCTTGCTTCCTCCGCCTGCCGCAATAACTAATAAAAACAGAAGAACTTTCACTAAAGAGCAAATACAATTAAGAATTTCACATATAGTACTACCACCTCAAATGCTCCTTGAGAGTTGGGATTGTTCCAAGCACTTTAATATTGCAAAGCAAATCAAGGTTGGTCTTACATGAGAAGCAAATACAGGAATCTTCTGTAGAAAGACATTGGAAACCCTGCAACACCATTGCCTATACATATCCCAAACCTGGAGTGCAAACTTATACTGGAAATCACATCTCATTTTATACATCTGTACATCACAAGTTGAAGTATACACCAGAAGACAAGTATAACCCATGTATCACTAGCTTTGTGAAAAAGTAAAGATCCAAGATAAAATTGAATTGATTCTCATCACTGAACACTAAACCAGGATTATGGGTGTGAGCAATACTGCAATTTCAAATTTATTTATTCTTAGTAAAACACAACCTTATGCTGATGCTTCAGGTGTACAAACACAGAAAACCCCTACCTTAAGCAAAGTTATTTGCCCATATTTTACTGATTTATACAGTTATTTGTAGACTTAAATACTTCGCACATGACCAGTTAAGTGAGAATAAGTTGCTCTTACTGTAGGTCATATTAGATGAGATGGTATCTGGACAGTTACACATTCACCCAATAGCTGCCTATATCAAAATGAAAAATTTGTGAATATCACCATTTCTTTCACAGGTGAAGGAAATTAAACCCAGTATGAGGTGATGTTGCTTAGAGACAGAATTTCTCACTCAAGACTACCAGAATTCTTACGAAAAAATTAAAATACTAACAGGGATGAGGAACTTCTTGATTTCTTCCAATGCATGTCCCATTCTGGCATATGCTTCCGCTGGTGGAGCAAAAACTTCAATCAAAACATGCAGGTCATCATTTAGGTGGAAGTACTTTGCCTCTCCACTTTTTCTCAACTCTTCCTCCTAGGAGATAAAGAAAGCTGGGTTTTTTTTCAAGTTCTTATTTTAAACATACAACGCAAGTGTGAAAGTTGGCTCAGAAGCATTTGCACATATTGTTTACTCATACTTGGATATCAACTAAAGTGTAACATCATACACTTCCCTGATACACTTCAAATCGCACTGCTACAGTATCAGAGTAGTGTCCCTTTCCTTAACAGTAAGTCACCAGCAACACACGAAGTATGACCCATATCACACTTCTGCTCACATACAGGAACTGTAGCACAAGAAACAATGTTCCCAGTTTTCCCAAATGCAGTTTCATGCAGAGGTCAGAAACAAAAAGTGAACATGAAGCCTCTTTCTTCAAAAGCAGTCTTTAGAAACAGTTTGATCTAACATTCTATAAGAGCAAGACTCTTACCAATATTATTCCAGTCTCTGTACTATTGCACTGCTCAGATAATTTTATTTTCTGTTCTCACAGATTTCTATCCCATAAGTACATCCTTTACAAAACAATGCTACTTGGACATGAATCTAAGAGCATACGAGATAAGGGAGGAGGACATGCCTGTTTCAGAAAATAATTTATTTCTTTTTTTCTGCTTCACTCAACCCACTTCAGAAGGAATGAGAAACTGAGGTTTCAATGTAGTGGAGCAGTGCTCAGCTCCCAAATACTTGCATTCACATGCAAAATGGCCACAGACCTAAAAGACATCATGTGTTACACACAAGAGGGGAGCTCGAGTGACAGGTGCATTCCAAAAGACTAAACCACCATTAAAAACAATTTCATCGTATTACTAGATCATATCAAATTCTTAGCAGTTCTGCTAGCTAAAAAACAAAGCTCTAAAGAACCCCCTGTTGCTTACTGTATTCAGCAAGAACCAGGTAAGTACTTCACCCTTTAGATTACTAAAATTGTAGCTCCAATAATACTTGAAAACTCACTCACACGCCCTTAATTATGGGTTGAGGTTTTTAAGTGAAAATCCATTTTTGCTTCTCAACTAACATTCCTATCATACTTAATGTTTGACTATGAGGATGTTTAAAAAAATCAGCAGAATCTAGTTAGCCATTAGAGCATCCACAACAAGAGTATTACGAGGCCAGAGTCAGCAGGATTAGACTTTGTCAGCAATACCATCATCAATACAAATAACTGATCTTAAAAACAGGAAGTAAAACAATATAAACATTACACTTAAAAACTTAGTTTTAATAGGAACTGTTTCTTAAATACTTTAAGCACATATATTCAAGTTATATGAACTGTCATCTAGTACTGGAAGCTAGATATTTTAATCAGTGGAGTTCCCCATACATGTATTTTAGCATAGACATGCTATCAAGCATTCCCTGTCTTTTTTTAAAGGGGGGGAAAAAAAATCACTGTGCAGTTAGATGTGCAGAGAATTGAGAATTAAGAAAATTTATTTCTGTGATTTGATCATCAACTCGCCTGGTAATAGCCGCAAGCAATAGAAAAAGTCAATTTCACATGCAATGCCTGGTGAAAGACTATTTAAATCAGTAATTTTAACAAAACCTAAGAAATTTCAGTGCAGGTTGTTCTAAAATCATTCCATAAGCAAACTTTTAAAGTAATTTTATCCTTTTTTCTTGCTTCACTTGAGAAGTTCAACGATTATAATTTTCTTCAATTCCGTAACATGACTTGGCAACACTACTCTCCACAGCTCTTAACACACAAATGAGAATGAGCTCACTTGGCATACGTCTCCCAAAATTAGGCACACATTAGGCATTTCAGGTTTTTTTTATTCCCCGTGATAACCAACACAAAAGCCACAGCTTGTTTCCATCCCAGTATCTCCGACAGTATTTTTAGCTCCCACAAAATCCTCTGCTTTCTATTATCTGACAGTACCTACATTGGTAAGGCTGGCCTAGTGCATGTGGATGATGCTTGGTTGGCAAAAACAGAGAACTTTTCATCCTTTCAGAAGCTCTCAAATCTCCATTGCAGTAGAGGGGGAAAGCACACCAGATGTGGAACAAGGGAGATAAGACAGCAAGGTCACCACTTGCTTTATTTAAAAAAAAAAATCTGTCCTTTGAATCTCCATCTTCTCACACAAACTGTATCATACCAAGTGGTTCATGGTTTGGACAATCTGATTTAACTTCATGTTATCCATACAATTTTCAGTGCAGTAATGCACTGCAAGGGCCTTATGAGAAAGATTACCCTATTTGCTTCATACCTTGTGCTCTTGTATTTCATTCCTTCGTGGTCCAGAACAAAGCAGAGTACTAGCACAGCTTATGATGCATGGCAGCACAAGGTATCTGGCAATGTGCCTACAACACAGTTAATATACTTTGACCCCTATTCTACCATATGTAGAATTTTTTGCTTTTCGTCGCCCTTGTCAAGCTATCAAGAACCAGATACCAGCCCTATAAGTCTACTGCTTTAAATCAGAAGTTGAGTAGCAGTATTTATCAAAACACGCTCATAGTACGGTCTGTTTTCATCTTCACTACATCGCCTTTGATTTAGATTCTAAATTTCTTTAGGTACTACCTGATATCTATTTTTAATATTATCTTAAATTTGGCTTCTGTCAGATTTAATAAACCATTCAGAACACTCAAGTTCTTGAAAGGCCTGTACCAGTCTCAAGCTATTAGTAACACATGAATAAACCAACTGGGGTGGAAAGCTGTAAGTTGTTTCTTCAGATTTACGGTAAAAAGCAATCTTGTCATGGAATAAAGTAATTCTGAAATAGATCCTTTTCTTCACTCTCCTGTAGACACATGAAAGCCTGAGTAGTCTAGCAGAAGGTATCTCAGCACTGACTAGTAAAAAGACATTGATGAAGTGACAGCACAGCTTGAAAAAAACATGTTATTTGAAGAGAATTACTGAATTTAGATATTGTATATCACAAGTAGATATATGAAATGGTCCTCCAGATGTTGACAAGAGATGGAAGCCTAGACTGATTCTAGAGCTCAGTTTAACAAGCAAGGAACACAGATATGAAAAATAAGACTTTAGAATGTGCTCTTAAACCCAGATCTCGTATTATGAAGATTGGTCATTCCAAAAAGGCAATTACAAGTCAGAGCTAGAGAAATACTGTTGCCCCAAATGAATTTCAAGTCAGACTGGTTTATCTGTATCTATTACCCTGTCTTATCTAATTGTTTCTCTAGGGAACTTGCAAAAGGTAATGGTGATCTTTGCTACATTTCCTTAACCTTCCACATCAATTAGCTTTCTTCCACAAGCCTTTGAAGTTATCTTAAAATAAAGTGTTTAGAACTTTAGATTAGTGAAGTCTATGAAGCTTACTGCCAATTTTCCTCACTTCAGCAAAGCAGTAATCATTAATTTAAAGCTGGTAATGCAGCAGGTATACTAACACACAAGTGCTTAGAAATACCTGACAATCTGATCCAGAGCTTCCAGCAAGTGGTTCATCCCAGAATCTGTGGTCACCATCACTGAGTAGCCATGAGCATAAGCTCTCTCACTTCTAGTGGCAGCAAAGGTGCTGCAGTGAACTTTAGAGACAACAGGTTAGATCCTCAGCTGTTGTGATGCAAATTTGGCTTCAGTGTAAGGATACTAATTTACATCAGCTGAAGGTTTTTTAAGTCTCTGGTAATTCCAAAGATTTTGCTAACTGTAGCAAATTCTAAACACAATAGTGCTTCAAAACTGAATGTAGGGGATTTTCCCAGGTATTTAAAGAATTTTACATTACAGTTCATGTCATTGAACATATTCTTATATCACCTATGCACTTCTGAAAACAAGGTTTGTTCCAATTTCCTGTTTACCAGAATACAGCATTGTTCAGATTTCACTTTCATCTGACCCTTAGATAAATTAAAATATCAATGAGAATTGGAAGAAGATCCTACATAATGGCAATCATACTTTTTAAATTATTCCTCCTGTCCTACAAGATGCAAAATAGCATGCTAGAAACCTGTGGATTTTCTGTTTGGTCAAACAGACCATTAGAAAACGGGGAGAAGCAACTATGATGGAGAAACTGTGTGGAAAATAACTCATGTTTGGAGTCACAGGTGTGAAGAAAAGGCAGGCTCTCCCCTATGCATGTGTCTAGGCTGGTTCAACACCTTGGTTCACCATTCATCTTCTCTAGATTAGTGCTCTGAGCATCGCCAAGGCAGCAATGAACTGCTTGGTTTTGTCACCTGGTTTACATGTAAGTAGAAGAGTAACATACACTACTGAACTACTGTTCTTCTATAGGAGCATCTCAGGCTTCTCTCTATTTGAAATATAACCTACAGGACAAAGGTTAATGGTTTTAAACTAAAAGAGGGTAGACTCAGACTAGATAATGAAGAATTTTTTTTTACAGTGAGCATGGTGAAACACTGGCACAGGTTGCCCAGAGAGGTAGTACGTCCCATCCCTTGAAACACTCAGGGTCAGGTTGGATGGGGTTTTGAGCAACTTGTTCTAGTTGGAAATGTCTCTGCTCATTGCAGGGGGGTTGGACTAGATGACCCTGAAAGGACCCTTCCAACCCATGATTCTAAGAGCAATATACTTCATTATTCATCAATAACACTAAAGACTCCACTAGATTTTCCAAGTAATACAAATCTGGTCACATGCAAGAATTGCTAGCTTTTCTGAGCAGCAACTTGTACACACCGAGTAATTCAATCCTTCAGCAAAGACCTCTCCTTTCTCATACAGAAAAAAAAAAAATAATCTATAATTAGGGTTCTCTTATTCAGGAGTTCTCTGGACAATACAGTAGTTCCAAAAATGCTAAATGGAATGTACAAAGATCAAAACAAATAATAAATTACTTGTTAAAGAGATATGGTTGAAACAGTACATAGGTAATCTACATGAAACTGGAATAAGTGTCTTGAGTTCTCGTTTGGTTAAGTTCTCCATATACAGAGTCTCTGGCTTGCTAAGCCACATCCCCAAAGAACTAGGGACAAGTGCAACCTGGTCTTGGTTATTAGCTGATAGGATGCCTTTAATAGCACCAGTACTTTCTTCTACATATCCTGTAGGTTCAATTGAGTACTGGAAACAGTGTCATTTGTCATTCAGAATTAAAGCAGACTAAAGGACTACTCTAAATAGGTACATACAAGCTATTCTAGCTCTATCATTCCAAAGTATCCAACTGGCTCCTCTCTACTGTACCTTTTAAAAACACAGCCAGACCTACAGTGACAGGCATCTTACTGTTTCTGAACTCAAAGATTAACTGTATTGAAGTTCTCCAAACAATAGCTCAAACAACTTTATTACAGTTTTCAAAAAAATTACTTAAGCAGTTTTGGCCAGCATCTCAGCCAAGGAGATGTCTAGTAACAATTTGAACAATTACTTCTTTACCAAAGGAAACAAGAAGCTTGTATAATTTAAATAGAAACCTTTAAAGTTTCCCCAGAATTCTGAGACTCAAGTTAGGATCTGAACTTGTCAGTGTGATCTGTTTTTAATAAAATGTTATACTGTAAAGCTGTTAGAAAAACCCAGGGGCCTTACTACTCCATGACACATTGCACTTTGATACAGAAACATCTAATGCAGCAACAGGAGAATGTCAGTTGACACATTTCACAAGTACTCCAGAAAGTTCACCAAGCATCATTTAAAACAGAATTTGGAGACTTACTTTGTCATCCTGGCTTAGAGCAAGTTTACTTTATATTCTTTCTAGTTGAATCATATTTCCTCTTAAAGTTACTAGCAATGTAGTTTTTCATAACTAGTTGTGAAACACTTAAAGTTGTATTGTATTACATAACAGTTCCCATTCAAAAAAAAAAAATCGCTCATCTTCAAGTCAATAAGACAATTTGTGTAAACTTGTTATATTTAATAAAAATATCCCCAAGAAGGAACTAAGAGTAAGAGTTAACTTACACAGAACAAAGTAATTATGGGCTCTGATCAAGTTCTTAATACTCTATAAATCACATACCATTATATTTTGCTGATGAAGAGATGTGCTAAGAAGTATAGTTTAGGAAATTCAGTAGCCAGCCCTCCAAGTCACTCCTCCATATGCATCTCATTACCAGTCTTTACAGCACACAGTTTTTAAATTTCAGATTACATAAGCACAGAAAGATTTCACTAGAGGCCTATAAAACATGGTATGCTACAGGCAAGAAATATGCTCAGTGTTTTAATTTGTATCATTAGGAATGCTCCAATTAAAAAATGCAGCTTACCAGACAGCTGACATCTCCTCACTGATATACATTTACCTGCTACAGATTTAGCCAGATTTATTTCAGTGAAGAGTGAAACTCACTAGTACAAACACCTAGCAAGCTAAAGGGTCTCCTCTGCCATCTACTTTGGCTCTTGTAATAGATACATCCAGTATAACCAAACACTTCCCAAAGAAACAACTGCAGTTTGTCAACTGCTCAAGCTGCATAAGTCATCCTCAGAGCTGTGAAATTCATGGTTGTATTTTATCTCCTTTCACCAGCTGTTTTTCCTCTTTGTCTATAAATGTTAAGTGTTCTTATGTGAATATGTTTGTTTGGATCTATCTAGAAAATCAGGTTCCTTCAAAAGCAAGAATGCTGCCATAGTCACTTGGGCATTAATTATAAACTGTAGAAAACCAACTTAGATCACACCACTGGTAATGCCCCACTCACATCCCCAAGGACCACAGTTTGGGGAGCCCTACTTACAGCTCATGGTAGTTTCAAAATACTCTGAGAACAGACTGCCTGGAAAACAGACTCCATCTGAATTTAACCAATATAAGGACATCCTATGCTTCTTATTTGCTCCAATTTGTCACAGGGTTTGTTCACCTCCCCTGAAATTTTAGGTAAGTTAGAAAATACAGGCATCAATCACTTCACTAACAGTCATACTCAGGTCTTACCTTTGTCTTGTCCCTCATAGAACCTTTTCCCAAAATAGACATTTTTGTCAGTGTTTCTTCCTGTAAACGCTTTAGAGAATTGCCACGTGGACCCAAAAGTTTTCCCACAAAGTTGAACTGTAAGGAAAAAAAAAATAAGCTCATTAGATTTTTAAGCATAAAAACATGCAAAACGGAATATTTTGCTGAAACATTTTTGTTCTACAAGTGTTAGATCATAAATTACAATGTCATTAAGTACAACTGTGTTGAACAGTTAATAGCATGTCCACCAGGTGTCAACAGAAACACAGAAGTACCTGAACTCAAGCAGTATAGGAAGAACTTTGTGTTTATCCCATTCAACAATGCAAACAGATGTACTCAAACTGCAACTCAGTTTTTCAACAATTGTTACCAGGTACATAACCTTAAAAACAAAGCTGGCAGCAATCTCACAGATACAATACAAAGCTCTGAAGAAAAATCTCATTGGCCTTATCCTCCCTTGAAGATTTATGCAGTAACCCATACAATGTGCCCTAAACTAAAACTCAAACAAGGAATTAAATGCAGCACAAACATGGTCCCAAACCAGAATCTACATTTAAGATCTTTTCAAGTATCACTCAACTCCCATTATCACTGAAGTTTACCAAAGCCACGGTGGGGTTCACAACCATGGCATTATACCATTGGGATAACTATAGAGAAGAAAGTGGTGAGCCACAAAAAGGAAGAAAAAGAAAACCCAACCATTTCCATTCATAGAAAACACCCAAACATACAGCTGATGTTCTTTCAGCCCAAAAGGTACTTCGGAGGGAAAGAAGGGTAAAGAAAACTGGTCTCAAAATCAATTCACAACAAAGGAAAACAACAAGGGAGAACCTGCCTGTTGTCATTTCAGTGACACAAAACTGGGTTTCATAGAGCCCGGAGGTAGGAAAGTTCTCATGAGCATTGTCCCACGGGGTATATATTCCCAGTCACACATATCAGGAGAAGAGCTGTATACATTCAGCGGCCCACTTTCATACATTGCTGCACTTTGTTTTGGAAGTTATATAAAATTTGAAGGACAGTTATAGAGAAGACTTCAGGATTCACTGAAAGTATGCATACAACTATTTTAGTTGGGAAAAGAACACCCGAGAAGAGCTGACAAACATAAGCTACACTTGGAAATTAGTATGGAATGCTGCAGAAACTCCCTGAAAGCAGCAATTTATTCCTGTATTGGATTTACATGGCAAGGTTTTGGTAGCAGGAGGCTGCAGGGGTGAATTCTGTGAAAAGATGCCAGAAGTTGCTCCCATGTTGTCTAGAACCAGCTCCAAGACAGACTCACCACTGCCCAAAGCTTAGTCCATCAGCCACACAGCACCTATGATATTTAAGAAAGGGTAAAACCACTACAAAGTTGAGCCAACTGAGACAAATGAGACAAAACTCTGCAGACCCCAAGGTCAGTGAGGGGAGGGGCAGGAGGTGCTCCAGGCACAGAGCAGAGGTTCCCCTGCAGCCCGTGGTGCAGCCCGTGGTGAGGCAGCTGTGCCCTGCACCCATGGAGCTCCATGGGGGAGCAGAGACCCACCTGCAGCCCGGGGGGGACCCCACGCCGGAGCAGGGGGATGCCCGAAGGAGGCTGTGACCCCGTGGGAAGCCCACGCTGGAGCAGGCTCCTGGCAGGACCTGTGGCCCCGTGGAGAGAGGAGCCCACGCTGCAGCAGGTTTGCTGGCAGGACTTGTGACCCTGTGGGGGACCCATGCTGGAGCAGTCTGTTCCACAGGGTGCAGCCTTTCAGGAAGGGAACCACACTGGAGCAGATTATGAACTACTATCCTGTGGGAGGAACCCCAGGCTGAAGCAGGGGAAGAGCAGGAAGAAGGAGCAGCAGAGAGTGTTATGAGCTGACCACAAACCCCATTCTCCATCCCCCTGTGCCACTTGGGGGAAGAAGGTAGAAGAGTCAGGAGTGAAGTTGAGCACAGAAAGGGGGGCAATTGTAGGAAAGGTGGGTTTAGTTTTATTTCTCACTATCTTTCTGTTACAATTAATTGGCAATAAATTCAGTCAAGTCTGTTTTGTCCATGACTTTGCCAAGTGATCTCCCTGTCCTTTTCTCAACCCACAAACTCTCCATCTTTCTCCCCTCATCCTGTTGAGGAAGAAGAGTGATAGAACAGCTTGGTGGGCACCTGGCAGGCAGCAAAGGTCAACCCAGAGATTTATAAAGCTGCTGTTCAGGAATATTTACTATCCCCAGTGAGAATGTAAAACCAGGATGTTCATTGTTGGAACCCAGATTGACATAACCATGTTAATAAAAAAAGATAGTTCTAAGCACAAATATAATTACATTGATGCTAAAAAGTAAACAGGCTTAAATTACTTGGTTTGTAGCCTCAAATTTATTTAACAGTTTAAGTTTTCGGACTCTTCCCCTACTACTGCGCCACTAAAGGCCCAAGATGGGCTGCTTCGACCTCTCTGTTCCTCTGGAGAAGTTTGAAAACACTTGACAATGGGTTAGTAGCAGCTCAAAATCCTTTATTGCTGACAAAAAAGGCCCAACTGCAGTCAACCTACAGCACAGAAAGTGTACAGCTCTAGTTCACCCACTTCAGCTTTAGACAAGAAATGCAAGCATTAAAAGCCTACTAAATGTGAAAATATGATTTTGTTTTCTCCTTAGTAATTGCAAGATCATCTCCCAATGCAGACCTGAGTTAAAACCAAGATACAATTGAACAAATTGCATATGGATGACTCAAGTCCACAGAAGCTATTAAATTTAAGGCCTTCCATGAACTAGTCTCTTCCAAAATTATCAGGCCAAATTAAGAAATTCTCAGGCAATTTTTGTTTTATCTTATATTCTAAGATACAGCCAAGGAAAATATTTATCAGAAATAAGCTGTCCAACAAAACAGTAATATCTCTTGCTGAGAATATTCAAGACTCGAGGTCACTGACAGGACCCTGTGTAATCTGCTTTAGTCATGATTTCAACAGAACATTGGACTAAATGTTCTCTAGATGTCCCTTCCAACTTGTACTTCTGATTTTATTATTTCTGGAGGTGTAACTAAAAAAAATGAAACAAGTTGAAGCAGTTCAGACCTAGTCTAACTTCCAGAAGTCAATAACTCCTTATGAACAGTTTGCTTAAATAAAGGATCATTACTTATGAGCAGGGAGTTCATAGTTAAGCTCAAATGAAAGCTTTCATATAGCGGAATACCTACATCAGTTTTTCAAGCATTACTTATGGTTACTTTAAAATAGCCTTGTAAGTTATTAGGAACACAAACACTGCATACACTTAAAATGAGAGATTTTCCATTTACAGTGAAGTATGCTGAAATTACTTCAGATTGTTGAGTCCCTGCGGTCTGGTATAGTCTAAATATCCAGCGGTATTCTTAGTTAAAATATTCAGGTGAAGTTTTGCTCCATTTTTGAATGCAATTTAGGAGCAGACAAGCATGTATTTAACACAGTGCATAGCTCTGAACATCACTTCTTCACTGGAACAAACAACTATCTGACAATTAAAATACAAACTACAAATCTTAGCAAATGGAAGTGCATATCTGCAACAAAAGCAAAATCCACTTTGCATGCAATCGAAATAGCTAAAAGGCTTTGGTGCTCAGAATATTTGGGTGTTTCAATGCATTTTTTTACTGCAGCTGTGTTATTTTAAAGCCTAACAGTTTAATTTTTTGTGTATATCTAAAAATTGACCTACAAAACTGTACACCACCAGAAGTGTCACCTTCTCAAAAATCAAAAAACCTCTAGCATTGAAGCTAGACATTATGGTAACTATACAAGTAGCTGCACAGATGACATGTTCTAGACAACACAGTTAATGAACATGAAAGTGTATTAGCTGTATCCTGAGGTCCAATGAACTCTTCTTTCCTGTGCATTGAGGCTCTAATTATTAGTTTTGACAAGTCTGAAGCATGAGAAAACTGTGCTGCAAGTCTGAAATTCTGCTGATTTGAAAGCACAGTACCTCTAGATGTAGCTTAAAAACACAATGAACATTGAAGGTTACTAAAAAATGGCTTACAATGCAGTCCCGAAGACTTTTTGATCTCATGTAACAAAGACAAAAAGCTTTTGAACATTTCAGTTAATTATGCCGTAAAACAAAACCCATTTATGATACTGAATGAATTCTTTCAGTAGAAAACATTTACTTTGAACAGGTACTGTATTTCATTCGAGCCACTGGTTTATCTTTTACATCAAATGGTTAACATCAGATCAGTAAATGTTTATTTTGAAGTATTTCAGAGATACAAAAACACTCAAAAAGATGTCAAATTACTATAATTATTTATACCCTTTATCCCCAGCAATCAAGGAGTAGGACAACTCAGACTTATAGGTACAAAACCACTACAGTAATACAAGTTTGTTACAAAATTAACAAATCCAGCCTATCTGCTGGTGAAACAGAAATCATTGTCTGACATATCCAAGTCAGCTCTTACACAAGATACTCACGTATAAGCTTCATGGGCCCTCCCCATGTTCCACATCTAGAGTTTATTTGCCCAAGAGCACAAGTAGAAACAAAAAAAAAAAATCAGGTCCAGTATTGAATTCAAGCTTATAAACAAACTATCTCTGAATTAGAGGCATTGGATAGCAACAAGAAAACATAGGAGCAGCTCTGTACAAGTCAGATCAGTCATGTTCACTAGTTCTGGCTCAGAATCAGACATGCCAGATTGCCCTCTTCTCACCTTTCTCCCTAGTAGAGCACGGTCACATCCAAACTGCTGTAAATACCTCAAGCTATCCTCTAGTTCACTAGCTTCATCTTAACATTGTATTAAGGCAGTCACACTGCCTTCCAGTACAAGCTGATGTGGAAGCTATTGCCCAATACACAGTTGTAAAGGATAACTGAACTCCGAAGAGCCAGCCATGAATGTTATTATACACCAGATGATTCATCTGTTAAATCAAGGATTGTCTCTACATTAAGACAGCTTCTGATGTCTTAGGTAAGACTCATGATACTATGGATGATGGTACATAAAACAGAAGATAGAGTCTCCAACTCAAAGCTGCTTCTAGACCAGCTCTGAAGGATATGCCAAATATGGTA